GGCAGTTTTGGCCGAAACCGGCGAGGTTTCCCGTCTTCATCTTGAACCGCGCATGGGTGCCGCTAAATAGATTCGGACTTCCTGTGAAAGTCATAATATATGACGTAACGACGACGGTTGTCCACTAAATGACTTTCTAATCTCGGCCTGAGTCGTGGAATGCCTCAATCTATTGAAGGCTTCCGCGTTTGAGTCTGATTTTTGGAAATTGTATGCGGTCGTCGTTCAGAATTCTGCCGTGCTCAGGAATAACGCCGTATGAGCCTTCAGGCGTTGCCTAATTTCCTTTCCATAAAAGACGGATTCCCTGGTTAATTTATGAATATTTTTCTTCCAATTTTTCAGAGAATTTCGGTCGTATTTTGATCTGAAATTCCTGAAAATTTCAAGGAAAAATATTCATAACTTTCCTCAAAAATAAACATTTTATCAAAGGAAATTTGGCAACTTTCGAATGTTCATACGGCGTTCTTCCTTAGCACGGCAGGATACGTGATTTACTTCGAGATTTCTGACAGTGTGCTTAAAAATTCCGCTTAATGGCAGGTTGAATCGAACTGATTTCAAGATGAATTATTGGAGCTTACCGCAGGTCTAGAGGTCAATCGCTTGGATTGATTCAAACACGGGCATTAAAGTTACTCCCAAGCTGAAGTCACGAACGTTGCAACTAAGCAAGGTCAATAGCAAGCTGTGAACCTGGAGTTTAGTCAAAGCATGCGGGAAACGTCCTCCATTCGAAATGACTTCTGGTTGGAATTGAAGATTTTCATCCAGAGCATTTCTGCTTATTAAAGATCTGCTTACGTCATAAGGAATAGGATCGGAATTAGAATTGGACGTACTTCTATCAAACCGAACTATGTGCAGAGGGAAAGATAGGGTGTGCTCCACACAGGAAAAAAAACACATTGGGTCTAGAGTCCAGACTCTTGAAAACATTGACAAGAAACGATACTCTTGATTCAATCGGATTTTTGCTGGAATCAGAAGGAAATCCGCTTAAATTAAGAGACTTGGTTCTTGATTTAAGCTAGATTCTGATTGCATCAAGAGTACTTTTTCTTGTCGATATTTTTAAGAGTCTGGACTCTAAATCCAATGTGTTTTTTTTTCCAGTGTGAGTTCTGACCACAAGGCTGTAGATAGTCTAATCTAAGGATATCCTCGTACTCAGTTTTCCTAGCAGTACCATTTTAAAGATGAAATTCACAAAATGTAATACACCTGCAAATTCTCTAGAACTCTTAGTAGAAAGTTCTTCTATATAAGCCCTAAAAATTAATTGTAGTTATAGTTGTCCCAAGACCCGTTCATGGAGCGACTGAAAACGCTATGCTAACGGTTAGTTACCAGAAATTCTCTGGGAAAAATGCAACGCTGTACCAAGGAAGTTGACTCGATTATGCTCCTTTTGCTTCACCTCATCGCTCCGCGTTGAGTCGTGCCAATGATGGAGGCCACCTCTTATATGAGTATGCGAATCACCACTCCGACCTTCCGACTAATGACTAACGACTCCATGCACTTTAAGCCATTGTATGCAGGTGTGGGTGTGCAATTTACCTCCGTCCAGAATCGCACAGCTTCTCGTTGGTTTCCCTAATAATCAAGAACAAAAGCCTCAGAATTAATGAATCCATTGAATGCAACCGAATGAGAATTGAGGGGCTTGGAGGACAAGGCGCATAAGTGCAGTTTTTGCCATTTCCAGAAATACAAGTTTCGAAATCACATGGATCCTTATGGCGGAAAGAAAGTAAAAACTGACTTTTTGATACTTCAAAATTAGAATTTGGGGACGAGTTTTTGCAAGATTATGCATTGAGACTAGTTTCCCTTGAATATCCTCAATTTTTTCAAATTCTGCATGTATGCGCCTCGTCTTCCGAGCCACTCAATTGAACTGAAGTTTTATTATACGTGACGTGTTTCCGCCCAAAATTTCACACGATCGATGGCCAAAGTGTGAAAACACGTATCTCCATTTCAAGGTTTCAGAACAAAAGCCTCGGCATTAATGAATCCATTTACTGGAGCTGGATGAAAATTTAATTGAATAATTATTACATGACATGTTTCCTCCTTAAATTTCTTGAAAGGAACAATGCGTTGTGCGAACATCCTAAAATAAACACTAAGTGAATTAACAAAAACTAACAAAGCATATCATTTCAGAAAAATTACCTTAAAAGTCCTGTACCGTAAAATACATTTTGATAGTGTTGAGATGTTGAAACCATGTTTAAGTTGGCTCATCTGTAAGGATGCGACAATTTTAACGCCGTAGCACTGTTTTGGCCTACTCTCATACTTGAAGGCGAACAATGCTCCGTGTGCAAAAATTCTAATGTACCTTAATCTAGGTGACCAGACGAGAGCAAATCCTATGAGTTCAAATAGTCACATCCTGTGACCCTGATGACCCTCCCCTTTTTGAAGGCAAAAATGAGAGTCGTCCCTGATTGGCTGACGGTTTCCGCCAATTTTCAGTTCCTTTGATTTTATGTGATAATTTTTGTGTTCTCAGTACTCGTCTTGAAAACATACTATGAACTTGAATCAAAGAATTGGACGTATTTCTGTTAAACGGAACTATGTGCATTATGCGACGTGAGCCCTGTCATGCAAATAACCTTACGGGTCGCAGCGCTCTTGTCTTAATACACATATTTCCGTTTGATAGAAATACGTCCAATTTTAAAGCTGGTTTATCAGGGTGTCTACAAGTCCGAAAATAGTACTGATTTTTAAAGGGCGGTCCGGAGGTACCGAAAAAGTGCGGAAATTCCGCAAGGAGGTCAGGAATTTTTGTAAATTTTGTTGCAATTTGAGTGAGAAGTTCAAATTTTTGAAATTTTTTGAATTGCGTCAAATGAAGGTACTGAAAAAGTAGTGAATTTCTCTGTGGAGAAGGTACTGAATTTCTTATGAATGTACTGAAAAAGTACTGTGCACTGATCTTCGGCCAGCCTGTTTTAGTAGACACCCTCTTTATCTTGAAGTTCGTTATGCGAGTCAACTTTTGCCGCTCTTAAGTTGGTGCGAAAACTTCGGCAAACCATTCAATCAAATTGGTAAGACGAGGACTTTGAGTGTGTTACGCATGCTGAAATGTTATCAGCTTGAAAGGGAGGAGCTAGCGTACCGTATAAATAAGCAAGCAGAATAGGATGGCGCAATTATTTCAACCCTTCTTGACTCATCGATTTACGCTCATGACATTTCCTTTTCTCAATGACCGAGTGTTGGGCTTTTTCTAAGACATTGACCCCGAGTCTTGAGTGTGAACTTTTCAGGAGGAAAGGGGGTGTGAAGTGTTATCGATTCTTTTCCTTGTTCGGAGGACAATGTCCGTCGGTCGATTTGCAATTTTTCATAGCCATCAGAAACCCCGCGAAGAGAACGCGATGCTCCAAAAGCCTTATTCCCTGTTCTTTGAGCTTCTCTCGGGTTAACAATCTTGATATCGTTTGATAGCGTGATATAAACGCTGAAATAACGAATCCTGTAAATGATTTTAGTGGACCATTAATCAATAACCTGAATTTTCGTTTTGACACTCTCACAGGAACTTTATAACTACACACGGAAAAAAGAGCACGGGGGTGGTAAATGGTGTGGACATTTCCAATTAATTGCGGTACTACCCCATTAAATTAGGTTACCAGCCCAAATGTTGCGGCCAAACCCAAAATTGAGTGCGGCACCACTAAAATTAAATGGAAATGTTCATGTCAACCTACAAATTGGGGTAGTACCATAATTTTAGCTGTTGACCCCTATCATTTTTTTCCGTGAATTCTGTGTAAGATTTTCGCTAATTGTAAGTGAAAGTCTTAAAAACCCAAAGTCCGTTAAGTTAATGAAATAATTAATAGGTCTGGCAAAAAACCGAAGCTTGCTTCAGCAAATTTTTATCGGCAGGAAAAGTCCTATCGATAGACGGCACCTCAAAAAGTTCCCAAAAAAATTCAACATGCCGAAAAAATTATTTTATCGCGAAGCATGCAGAGAACAGCGCACACCTAATTCTAAGCATAACAGTCTTACACGCTTATTTGGACCGCGCCAAGCAGAGAAAAACCAAGCCACATCAGTTGATGCCAGCTTTAATAGAGAATTTGCAGGTGTCTGAAAGATGAATTTCGTGTTTAAGTGGAAACTACCGAGTGAACTGAACACGAGGACACCCTTGGTTCATGAATTGGACAATTATTGGAGAAGATATGACAAAATGATCTAATCTGCCAAAACACGCGTGTTTAAATGGGAAATGCCGCCAGATGACGTCACTAGACGGTAAGACATGACAAAATCATCTAATCTGCTAAAACACGTGTGTTTAAATGGGAAATGCCGCCAGATGACGTCACCAGGCGGTGCATTTTCTCACTTTTAAATCTATTTTAAACTATTTCCCATATCAGAAAAAAAATTATAAAAAAAAACTGTGAAATCAGCTATTTAAGCACTTTCAGATGAAGCAATAAACATATTTCATACAAATTCTTGATTCAATGTTCTGCATGCAAACGGTTGTGCGGATTTTTGTACAAAAGTGAATATTCTGCATAGTACGAAGCGAATCCTTAAAACCCTCAAAGGAATCCGCGGAAACGTTCTCTTGTAAAAAATTAAATTGCTCGGTTCAATTTGGCAATAGCTGATGTTGTTTGGTTCCTTTCAGCTTAACGAGGTCCATTTATCACGTCTCTGCCTTATCAAGTAAAAAGCAACGTTTGGGCAGTTTCGCGATAAACTCCACCAATTTTCCAACCTCATCACCAGTGGCGTGGCGTACTTGGCGATATATCGATTGTTATACCATTTAAACCTATGGAGAAGGATCGATAAACAGAGTGTTCGCAGCGAACACCTTAATAATCGATTCTTTACCATAGGTTTAAATGGCATAACAATCGATACATCTCGATTCACGCCACGCCACTGCTCATCACCTCTGTCGCAGTGTCGCATAGCGTGCTCTCCACAGCAGCAGCGTTCTGTGTGAAGATTATGCACTTCAGTGTCTGAGCGTGTAGCATACCTATTTGAATACCTGTGTCTTTCAGTGTGTATTTATTTCCAATGATAAAGAAGGAACATGTCTGAAGGAGTCACTCCTTCTCGAAGCAGGACTCGGAAATCGTCTAATTCCTTTTTGCGAAATCATTCCTCTTTCAAGAACGGCAGATCTAAAGACGAGGCTAAGTGCGTGGTTTGTGGTGTCTACGTGACGGTTTACCGTGGAACTTGTGATCTTAACCTACATCTTAGATCGGAGGGACATCGAAAAGCTGCTCAACTAGCATCCTCGCACAGTAAGATGAAACCCTTGTTTATTTCGATTGAGCTCTGGAATAAAATTTTGGGAAAATGTAATCCACTCGAGATCATACCAATTTAATGAAAAAGGCGGGCGTCATGAAACGAAAAAAAATTATGGCAGGTTTAAAATTTGTATATAATGCTTTATTAAATGTTTCGAGGCGCGGAATTTTAGAAAAATGTTATATATTCATTTTAGGGGTGGGGTATGCGATCTGCCCCAGAAAATGCATAAGGACGCAAGATACATCATATTTTCTTCTCATTGAACTCTGTATTTTTATGTATTTTTCTGATGAGTGGAACGCAAATTATAGAAAAAATAAGTAGCACGTTACTTCCACCCCGATACAATATTGGAATTGTTTTGCGAAGTAGCTAGCGATGGCTTATATTCGACGATTTGAAATATATTTTTCATCACCATAAATCTCGGTCGGTAAATTTAAGTGAAATTTCACGATTTTGAATGCCATGAAAATTCGCCACACTGATGAGTAAAACAACGAGATGCTCATCCAACGACCAAACCTTTTTAAAATTTCGCAGCAATATCGTGAAGCATTCTTGTATTGTCGCAACGCGTAACTCCTGGCCCAAATCTTAATTGGACTTCACTGGGGGAAAAAACACATTGTATCTAGAGCCCAGACTCTTGAAAACATTGCCAAGAAAAAGGACTCTTGATTCAATCAGATTTAAGCTTAAATCAAAAGGAAATCCGCTCAAAGCAAGAGGCTTAAATTGGTTCTCGATTTAAGCTTAAATCTGATAGAATCAAGAGTATGTTTTCTTGTCCATGTTTTTAAGAGTCTGGACTCTAGATCCAATGTGTTTTTTTCCCCAGTGTTTTTACAATATGACTACCATTTCTGACTCACCCACAAACGGACCTATCAACATGGGAAAACTAATAGCTTATACGTTGTTTTTAAAATGAGTGAGAAATAATGCCGAAAATCCAGTCACAATAAAATATTGCCAAAGAAGCCAATATCGAGTGGGTGGCCAAAAGTACACGGAGAGTATTTATTCCTTGCGTGACAGTGTCTCTGGATGAGCGGCCAGGGCTCTGATTCGCTCTGATTACTAATGACCGATCAGAGGAATCAGTTCTCACGCGTGATTCGTCACGACCGTGACTTCTTTTCCGCGGCCTTCCGTCGTTCGCCAACCTCCCCTTCCTACCTTCCTCGACCAGACACCCGCGACTCCCGATTCGCAATATTGTCGCGATTTCTCCGGCGTGCCGCGTCATGGTTTCCTCCGTTCCTGAGTCAGTGTGAAGGGACTGTACTGCCGTGCTAAGGAAAAACGCCGTATGAACATTCGAGAATTGCCAAATTTCCCCAGATAAAACGAGCATTTTAGAGTAAAGTTACACTGAGAAAAACAGTTCGGTAAAACCGAACTAGTTAGGTTCATATGGAACCACGATTTTGTTCGGTACACACGACCGAATTATTCGGTCTGCTCAGCCGTACTGTTCGGTCCACTGAACCGAACTGTAAGAATTTATTATGGTTCGGTTGCACAAACCGAACAATTCGGTTGAACAGACCGAATAATTCGGTCGTGTGTACCGAACAAAATCGTGGTTCCATATGATCCAAACTAGTTCGGATTTACCGAACTTTTTTTCCCAGTGTATGCATATTTGAACTTGAAATTTTCAGATATTCTAGATTAAATTGCGAAGAAAATTTTCTTAAAAAATTGAAGGAAAGTATTCTTAATTTCCTCAGTAAAGTTACTACTTATTGAAGGAAATTTAGCAATGTCTGAAGGCTCATACGGCGTTCTTCCTTGGCAAGGCAGTGTAAATGTGACCGTCTCCAAAACCGAGAACTGTCCGGAGAGAAAAAATTCAGTATTCACCTCAGTATTCATTATTCAATATTTTTCTCGAATCGGAATAAACAATAAAAGGGGCCTGTTGCAAAACTTCACTTGGAGCAAATAGAGGAGTTTTGTCTTATTGGAAATCATTCAAAAATAAAGTTGAAAGCATCTGGGATGTCTAATATACACTCCTAACTTCACAATCTGCGTTTTTTAAGCTTCCCTCTTCCAAAAAAGATGTTACGGCACAGGTGAACATTTCCTAAGAGGAGTCTCTCCGTCCAACCCTTGCGCACAAGAATTGGCTGACACTTCCGCGAGAAAATCTTGAGGAAGCACCATGATATTCATCGACGCAAGGAAAGTGTAAATATCAACATTTTCAACATGTTGCTCGATAAAATTCCGTCTCGTCATGTGTTTTGACGAATTGGCCTCGGCCAAGTTGAAATTCAAGGTGGTGTCGAATATTGCGTAGCATCCCAGGGGTCTGATGGAACGACTCCCACGAAATGTTCATATGTGCCGTAGTATCACTTTTGAAGTGGGAAGCTGAGAAAACGCATACTTCTTTACGCAGATTGTGAAGTTAGGTGTATTCAGACTTTCCCGATGCGCTTATCCTAATTTTTCAGCCATATTTCTTTAGTTGCACCTTTTGTAACAGACCCTTTGGGTTTTAAGATTCCAACGGAAAATTCTCTCCCGTTTCTACGAGAATGAACGCAGTTAAATAATAATAATACTAGTTTGTTCATACCCTGGTAAAAATTGGCGATAAGAGCTGCATTTCAAAATACCGTAGGAATTCTTATAGCCGGCTAAAGAAGGCTGCAGAAAAGCATCTAGCTGGCTGTAGAATGCGGAGAAAATCATACGGCCGGGCTATACGAAGCGATAAAAAATTATGCGGCCGGGCTATAGTTCCTATCGCCGGGCTTTACACTTAATCGCCTGCCTGTTGCTTTTTCTCCATCGATTATAAAAGGCTATTAGGAATTGTGTAGAAATTCATGTGCTTTGGAAATCATTAAGTTTGATACGGAGCCACCTTAATATTTACGAAACACGCATTATATTTTCCTTCAGTACATATTTTTTTCATCAATTAAAATGAGAATAATCCATACAGGATGTGCAAACATTTCAAAATCATGAGTTGAATAACGCTGACTCCGCCTGATTAAGTATTAGAGCCTAACACAAAGCGGAGCGGCGACGCACTGGCGCCTACAAACCTAACAGGGATACTTCACGCATTGCGCAACGCGTGAAGTATCCCTGTTAGGTTTGTAGGCGCCAATGCGTGTTTCGCGCTGACTGGCCGCCTGCCACGGCGCTTGAAGCAACTATTTCACACCAGAGGTATTGCACAATATCATACGAAACTGAAGGCGCTCTAATATATTAGGACTGGCAGGCATCCATCAAAAGTACGGAGCTTTCCTCGCAAAATAAATCAAGATACTACGGCCCAAAAAGAGAGCAGTATTCCAAAAACTCACCAAGTCCTAGCATCCGTAATTAGTGACGTCTAGCATAGCACTTTATCGCCTGGCTGTGAGTTGCTTAATCGCCATCGGCTATAAAAGGCTATAAGAAATCGTGTATCCGGCTATAGAAGCTATTGGAAATCTTACAGCCGGCTGTAGATCTATGGTATTATGGAACACAGATTCTACTGACAATTTTTACCAGGGTTTTGGTGAATGATTAACTGAATTATTCTCAAATCGAGTCAAATTAGACTCGAACACATAAGAGGTAATTAAAGACATTTAGAGTCACTTCTAATCAAATGAATTAAAGTATACAGCACAATAAATTGAAAGTACGCCTTAAGCGAGTTTTGCGCTTGGAAATCTTCTAAAATCATAAAATGGGCTTTCAACGTAGGTAAACAATTGGTGTTTCTTATTAGCGGAAAGAAGGAAATGATTTCAAATTTCAAAATCAAAGAATAGACTATAAAAATACTAAAGCCTTGAAACGCACGAAAGGACAATGGGTACTTGTAATTTGAATGGAGAATAGATCCATCTTGTTCCCCGCGCAAAGATCACAATGACAAGAACATCTTTTTGAGTTCTTTTTTAGAAGATGTATTAGACAATTGGATAAATGTATTTGTTAGTCAAAATTCGTTTATGATGTAGTGACCCATTCAGTGGCGAAGCGTGAATGATCGATTATCGATATTTCCCCATTTGAAGTTATGGTAAAGTATCGATTATTAAGGTGTTCGTTGCGAACACCCTATTTATCGATCCTTTTCCATAGGTCTAAATGGCAGATCAATCGATATATCGCAAACCACGCCGCGCCACTGACCCATCGCAGGATCGTTTCACTCGTCGCATTCCCAGACCGCAAGAGCCGATCACTTTGCCGTCGTGTTGTAAAATCAGGTAACTGATCAGTGATCAGCGGTAATCAGAATTCATAACGTAATCGCGGTCGACGTGTAGCATCGTTCGTCGTCGCACAGTGGTCGAGTCAATCAGAAAGGTCGGACATGACATTTTTGACTAAACTTGAGAATTTTTATGTTTACTTCGTTACACTTTAGATTTAATGGGGTGTTTCTTGAATGAAATTTCAGGAGGCAACCAATGGAGCTACTTTCAGAACCTCAAAATGGAGATGTTGCATGTGTGAGGAATTTGCGATTTGACTGTTGATTCTGTTGTAAAAGTTCGCGAGAAACACGATGGTGCCACTGATTTTCTCTGAAATCAACTCCCAAGCTCGAAAAAAGCTCTCAAGTTGAGGCCAAAATGGAGGGTATATCCCACGCTATCCTGAGAGTCCACCTCTACATCAAAACAAACTCTCCACGCAAAGATAGGGAGCAAATACATTGACAGGGCTGTCACCTTATTTGGGGACTCTAAAACTGAAAACACGGCTAATGTATTTGCTTCCTATCTTTGCATCGAGAGTTTGTCTTGATGTAGACGTGGACTTTCAGGAAAGCATGGGATATTCCCTCCATTTTGGCCTCTACTTGAGAGCTTTTTTTGAGCTTGGGAGTTGATTCCAGAAAAAACCAGTGGCACCATCGTGTTTCTAGCGAGTTTTTACGCAAGAATCAATAGTCAAATCGCAAATTCCTCACACATGCAACATCTCTATTGTGTATAAATGGAGT